TGTTTTGTATGAAAAACAAATCCTTTAAAAAGAGCCATGGAAATTAAAATATAAGAGAATTATTTCTCTGGCGATGGCTTGTGCTGCAATCTTGGCTTCATCTTCAGTTTTTCATATTGAAAAACCAGTCCCCACGAGGCAACTAACACCTTGGGAAAGGCAACAAAGAGGGCGAGTATGCTGTTTCCTCTGTCACCACACTATCCCTATTTATTGAGCATGAGGGTGTCATGAAATAAGAGTCATTGATTGGTTGTCATCTATAAATTCCAGCTGTATTGGTGGTTAAATAAGGCAGTCCAATGCATCCACCCTTTGAGATAGGGCAAAGGAACTAGATGGGGAAAAATGAGACTTTCTCAAACCTTGAGTCCACTTGGTTTTTATTTTTTAATTATGTAGCAATGATGACATTCAGCAGTAGAGACGTAACTAAAAAGAAGGGCTTTGAAAAAAATGCTCCTTCCTATCCAGACAGAAACAGCTGCTTCAAGAGCTAGTTTATGAGGTTTATAAAGCAAGATCTGATAATATCTGAGATTTGTTGCTAAGCACGGCACATACAAGGAACCAAAGCCAACTCAGTTTTCTCCACTGCCCAGGAGAGCCCAGTGGTCAGATGTGCAAGGGCTATTTGTTATTATTTTTAATGGTGTCTGTGAAGTCCAGCTAACTGGACCTAAGAAGTTCTTTGTGAGTTAACCACCATGGAATATGTAGAGTCTTGCTGGTATATTCCAAATGCATGTTACATAATTCTATATGGTTATGTGAGTCTAAATATAGAAAATGGGAATCACAGGGACCAGCAGATGGCATAATGGTTACGTTGCTGGAATCCCATGTAGTCAACCATTGTTCAAGTCCTGGACTCAGCAGCTTAAACTCATACCAAGTGTGCGTGGGTGTGTGCCCAAAATCTTGAGAGGAGAATAGAGGAGAAGGGATTGTGGCTTAGCCATCCCCCAGGGGGTGATTTCTCACTTTCTGTCTCTCTCTGTCTTTCTGGCGGGTGTACATGCCCTATAGAAAAAAATTCTCTCTTAAAAAAAATAATAACCTGGATTTAAGGAAATATAACTAACCAGCATTGGATTTAAGGAAATAAAACTAACCAGTATTTCTGGCAATTCCACCTATCACAGCTCACCTGCTGAGGAATTCATTCTTCCTAATGATAGTCCACAGCCAGAAGAAGATGGTAACAAGTCAGAAATGGAGGAGGAGAAGGATGGAAAGAGTAAAAAAGATACAAGATCAAAAAGGATGACAAGGGGACAGAAAAAAAAAATATATATATATATTTCTGACATGCAATCATTGACAGTATTAGCAACCATACCAGATCAACAAGGTAGAATATTCACATATTTAGATTAAGTTTAAGTTTACAGAGGAAAATTCAAGAAGTTCAAAACAAAACCTATGATTCATGCACAGTTAGTCAAAAAAGGATCTGGCACAGGGGAAAGAAAAAAATCTTTCACACGTATTCATCAACCAAAAAAAAGAAGAAGAAAATGAAAGTATATCTATAAAACAATTTTTTTCCCCAAATACACAGTAGCAAATAGTTAAGAGCTTAGGTTTGTAAAATGCCATTCAGTTATTTGGAGTTCAGCCTATTCACCTTTGTAGCATGTTCTCTAACATCCTGAAATCTCTAGTACCTAGTCACAGTAATGACTATCTTATTCAAGCCAGTCCTTTCAACTCTCCTTGATTCTTCACTAAGTCTTTCTTATGCAATAGGCCGAAGTGGAAAGCCAAAGTAGGAGCTTCCTAAATCCTTCCATCCTCCCACTATAGCCTGCCTTATTTATACCTGGCCTTCACAGAGAAGCAGTGCCATGTTTTACGCTAATATTTACACATCCCACTGCCCACTCTTCTCTTTGTATAGATCCCAGTCTTCGGAAACAGGCTCCCACAGCACTCGTGTTTCCTGCACGGTCTGACCTTGTGATAAAAAGCCCAAACAAAGAGGCTCATGCAGCTGCCTGTGAATGAACAGCAGCTGCATCCAGCATTGTGTTTCTTGAAAATGGGCAACAATTTTTCTCTATTGTGTAAAAAAAAAAAAAAAAAAAAAAAAGTAAATAAAGTGAAATAAAATAACTCTTTATAAAAATAGTTAATACCAGTCATTCACAAAGTCTGAGAAAGGAAAGGAAGTAAAGCGCAGGACACTTCCTGCCTGAAAAAATTTTTTCTTTTTTTTTAAAAAAAAAAAAAAAAAAAAAAAAAAGAATCATGACACGAAGCATCTACCATTGTACACTTTTCAAATCTGATCATTTTTTAAAGATGCTTGACAATGCCATTTTAATATTTGCTGGAAACACAAACACCACACAACGAGGTTGTCATACCTTTCTTGGACTTTCCTGTATTTAACAAAAAAACAAAAGGACAAAGATTTCATTCATTCTAGCTTACAAAGGCATAGTTCACAAAAGCCAATAACCTTTACAGCTTCGGGAGTTCAGTTCCTCAGCTTTTTCTTTAAAGTCTTTCTTGTTTGTATTACTCAGGTCAGTTCTATCAAAACAGTGCCAATTGAGAAAGGCTCATACTTACACTCCTTGATGTATCCATTATGAATAGCAGCAAAAAAACAGTATATTTAAGTTAAATGTGTAAGTAAAACAAAGAAAATTATAAAATCTAAATTGAAGTTAATGAAAACATGCTAGGTACAGTTTTTTCAAAACCATGAAATCTTACTAGCATTTGTTATTTTAGTGAAGTCACCAAGTGCTAGTACAACAATTTTAAAAGAAATTATGACGTAACCCTTCTAATCTTTGTGGGACACAAGTATGGGCTTTGTAGACAATCCTGGCAATTTCACTGTCTATTGTGGCTCTAAGAACTATACTCTCTGACTACTTCTTCTCTGGATAGAGGAGCTAAAGGTAGCAGCTGGCTTCACATGACACATTTCCTTGGGTCAACATACATATAACGGTCCCCCATCTCCTCAGAAGCTGTCCTACCAGGCTCATATGAAATCCTAAAGAGAAGCATCACTTTATTTACTTATTTATTTATCTTTTGAATTTTAAAAATTTAGTTTTACTTATTCATTCATTTATTTTAATTTCACCAGAGAGAGAGAAAGCAAGCCACCAGGTCCAGGACTCAAACTGTGGTCAACGATGTGGGAGTGTCCAGCACCTTAACCACCATGCCACCTGCTGGTCTCTATAATTATTTAGTTTTAATTTGCTAGATGGAGTATGTGTGCTCAACAGAGAGAGACAGAGAGGAAGAGAGAGGGATAAAACACACCTCCAATACTGCGTGGTCATGTCCTAATCCTTCTCCATTTCTCCATCCTGTTGGGATTTGGGGCACACACATGAATCCAACATGTTTTTCAAGCCATTGGGGCAGGGATTTGCACCATGCTATCAGTCATGTGGATTTGGCTCCTCTAACCACTAGCCAACAAAGCCAGCTCAAGAGGAACAGCGCTACTTCGGAGCTACAGCAGAGAGAAATGGAAGCTGCAGTCTTCTTAGGGTGCAAAATCATATCAGTGAAGAATAAAAGCACAGTAGATAAATCAAAGCCAATAGATTTTGCAGAAGGTAGGTCTATAACACGACCTAAGGAAATTGGCTTGGTTTTCCTCTATGAAACTGATCTGAGAATTTCTATTCTTTGAGGAGGAAAAACAACTTAGATAGATACCAAACATTCCTTTAGTTTCATCACATCTACCAAAGAATCCTCTTACATAATAATGTTAACAGCTCTAGATTCTTACAAATCTTCCCAGTTAGTATAAAATTCCAGTTTTTCCAAACCCTCTGCTTTGGAAAAATAATTTCGGGATAGGCTACAGTTTGTGATCCCACTCTTTCTTTCCCAAGTGCTTTATCTTTCCCCAAATCACGAATAATACATAAAGCACAAGGATATGCTGAATTAGGAATCAGCAGATGGCGTAATGGTTGGATTTCCATGTAGTTGACCGTGGTTTGAGTCCCAGACTCAGCAGTTTAAAGCCAGGCATGTGTGCTTGTGTGCCCCAAATCCCAAGAAGAATGGAGGAGAAGGGACTGCAGCATTACCATCCCTTCTGGGGAGGTATTTCTTGCTTTCAGCCTGTTTCTTTCTGTCTGTCCAGTGAGCTTACGCACCCCATAGCAAAAACCTCTCTATAAGAAAAAAAAGGAATGTGCTGAATGATATTTGTTGGTGTGTGGCCAATCCAGGCATTGATGTGTTTAGTCAGTGGGAAAAAATATATTTAAACAAAAGTCTATTAATATTACAGAAATTGCTTCAACAGAAAATAGACCCACAAGTTGACAGTGATAAATGAGAGCTAAAACTGGAAGGACTCATTTATGTCTTTTATTTATAAAAATTAAGATATTTTTAAAAACTTACTGAAAAGTTATGGTAAAGGAAATAAAAGAGCAGTTCAATCAAATGTACTCGATTCACACCCGGCCAGTGGAAACCAGTTCTTCCGTTATAAACTTTTCATGAATATCATAGCTTGTTAACTCCTACAGTACCTTTAGTAATAATCTGAACACATTGTTCAGGTGATATACACACACACACACACACACACACACACACACACGTATATAAATATATATAATATACACCCATGCACATTATGCTTAGGTATACAGTAACATATGTACTATATACGTGTGTGTGTACATATTTGTGTGTGTGTATATATATATATATGCAAAGAGACTTCAAAAGGTCTGTAGGGGACCAGCAGTTAGTATAATGGCTATGTCGCTGGACTCCCATGTAGCCGACCACGGTTCAAATCTTGGACCCGGTGGCTTGAACTCACACCGGGCACGTGTGCGTGCATGCCCAAGATCCCAATAGGAGAATGGAGGAGAAGGGATTGTGGCGTGGCCATCCCCTCTGGTTGGTGATTTCTCGTTTTCTGTCTCTCTGGAGAGTGCACATGCCCTATAGCAAAAACCTCCCCCCTCCCCCCCAAAAAAAAAGGTTTGTAGGAAAATAGAATTAAAGTATGACTTTTTGGATGCTAAAAAATTTTGAAATTCATGCATAGTGTTTTCACAATATGCGTTTTACACAAATGTTTTGTAGACCTCTCATTTGTGAATGTATCTACGTGCATAAATCTGTTTTTGCTCGCCCTGGGAGGCCAGTAATTAACCCCTATCACCATCAGCAGAGAGGCTCAGTAGTTAGAACTGGATTCTAAGATGCTTAAAGAAAAAGGTTTTAATCCCATCAATGCATGACTCTACCTGGAACCAAATGCCTGCTATCCCCCAGTATTCCCATTGTATCCTGGGCTTTACTCCATCACTGGATTTAGCACATTTTTACTGAAAGCATCTGTTATGTCTCTTTCTTCCTCCCTAGACTATAAGCATTTCAAAGGCAAGGATTATGTCGCCCAAATGCATTCTTGGTATCTAGCACCATGCCTGCTCAAAAGCTAGGGCCAATACAAACTGTTGACCAAGCAATGTTAACACAGTAAACCTAATTCTGTTGACAGGAAGTTTGCCTCTGGAACTACATTATAATAATTTCTTTTAGCCCCACAAAGACTGTTTGAGAAACTCATTATAAATGCAATGTATTATTACAAAGAAAATATGCTTAGAGTCAAAGTCCACCTGAAACCTAAATATGATATAAAAGTTCAAACCTACATTAAAAGACCCAAAGGAATTCTACTCGGGGTCACTAGAGCTCAATTTACTAAGCTCAAAGACTTTTTATTGATTTTTTTTAAGTTTCTTTTTTCCAAAGTAAGAGAGATAAAGAGAGACAGAGGCACAGAGACAGCCATCCCAACAGAGAGTTCAAGTCACAATCTAGCCTCAGTTTCAGTCGGCCTTCGATCATGGGCATGTGTGCACCCAGCATGTTCAGGGATGTCTCTAGACAAGAGCCCAGAACCTTCCCACGTGGGGCAGCCTGGCAGTGTGTGGTGTTATTGCTGTGTCACCGTCAGGCCTGCTCAGTGCTCTTTCGCCATGGTTCATTCAATATAGTGGCTTAGCCGCACACCAGGGGAGCGATCTTGTTAGGTGCCCTGGTACTCTCCCTTGATCTCAGAGGTCTCTCTTTTTCTTTCTCCCTATCAAAGAGGAAGGTTAGAAGCTCTGCAGAAGCCTTTTGGTTTGAGAGTTCTATTTAATTTGAAGAACAATGGGTATGTTTAAAATGCATCAGCTACATGCATACACTGGAAAAGTTATCCTGGTTTAACAAAAAGGATATGTAAGAGGACTTTGAGAAGTTCATGGAGGAGACAGGTGGCAGCACAGTGGTAACACAACTGAAACGTCACGTAAAAGGTCCTGGGTTCATGTGCTCCCACTCCGTGAGCATGCTATGCACACACCTGTTTGCCTGTGATACGGGCCCTGAGGCTAGGGGTGTATCTTGGCAGGAGGACCCTATTGGCATTGCCCATCTCTCTGTCTCTCATTTCATTAAATAAATAAATACATAAACTTTAAAAAAGTGCGGTGGGGCCGTCAGGTGGCGTGGTGTTTAAGGCACTGGATTCCCATATAGCCAACTATGGTTCTGGCAGCTTGCTGTCTCAGTTTCTTTCTCTTTCTCTTGTCTCTCTCTGGGGAGCACATGTGCCCTATAGAAAATTTAAGAATTATGTAGTAAATAAAATTTGATTAAAATTGGCAGAAAATGGAAATTAAAGTAGGAGTTTATTTTGGTTAAAAAAATGTTCAAAATACACACTGTTTTTCCTAATAGCCATTTTCCACGAACTTTTTGAAGACCCCCCCCCCAAGGGGACACATTAACATTTAGAACTTTGATCCCCTCTCCACTCATCCCAAATCATGTTTTCCCTCCCTTTCCCTGAGGAATCCTAATGCTTCACATTGACCACAGCATTTGATTTCAAAGGTACCTACCTCTGAGCAGCCTCCGGGACTCCGAGTCTTTGGCCATGGTGGCCAGCGAGTGAGGGAGCACACTGCCGCAGCTGTTGCTCTGTCCTAGGGGCAGGTGAGCCTGTGAGAACCAAGAGGGAATCCATCAGGCAAACTGCTGGCCAACGGTTTCTTCAGGACATGACCGTGTACCTGTGTGCACAGCCCTATCTGAGCAAATGGGCCTTTGTATCCCACTTGCTGGTACCAAATAGTAAGGGCCAGTCACGCTCCCTCCTGGGAAGCTCCACAGCAGTCTCAACAACTCAGCACTTCCTCCAACGGCAGCAATCCCAACAGCGAAGGCGGCTGGGGAAGAGACTGCTCACCTGAGGGCAGCTGAAAGTTCATCATGCATGAGGAGCAGAGGGCAGATGCAGAGGCATGCAGACCATGCAGACAGATCTACACTTGCTACAGATGCACTGGTTCCCATCTACCCTCTGCCGTCTAGTAGGTTTACAGCTGGAGGAAGCTTTTTAAATAGTAAAATCCTTCATGTAAATAAAATACATTTGAAACACCAACTTATAAAATAGATGTAAACAATTCACTTTAATTAAGGGTCAGGGAGAGCTCCAAAGTCTGTCCCAATCAGAACCTTTTTCTTCCTTGTTTCCTCTCTGCATCTGCAGTGACCCCTTAGGCATGACAGCAGAACACGAGGGAAAGAACTCAGGTGTCTGTCCACCTGGATTCACATTCCAGCTCTTTGGCACACCAGCTGAGGGTTCCTGGGTTAGTCACTTAGCCTCATCACACCTCAGTTTATCCATACATAGAACTGGAATAATAACTTATATCCCTACGGCATCTTGTTACAGAGTTTAAACTAAATCCACATAAAGGATGAGCCCAAGTTTGGGCAAGTAGCAATGACTCAATAAATATTTGTAGCTGTTATTTCTGAAATCCAGAGTCCTTATCCTATCTTGTTTCTAAATCTGCAATGCAGCTTCAGGAGACTGTCATGTAAGGGATACCCCCACCTGGGACCAGCAGTTAGCATAATGGCTATGTCGCTGGACTCCCATGTAGTTGACTGCGGTTCGCGTCCCGGACCCAGTGGCTTACAACTCACGCCAGGCATGTGTGCGTGCATGCCCAAGAGCCCGAGAGGAGAACGGAGGAGAAGGGATTACGGTTTGGCTATCCCCCCAGGGGGGGTAATTTCTCGCTTTCTGTCTCTCTGTCTCTCTCTGTCTGGCGAGCACACATGCGCTATAGCAAAAACCTCTCCAAAAAAAAAAAAAAAAAAAAAGGCATGCCCCCTCCTGTGCTGAGGTAGAGAAGATCCTAGGCTACCTTCTTTGGCTCTAGAGCACACAATTCCAAGCATTCTCTATTTAGGTTAGAAAATGCAATTCAGGGGGCCAGCAGCTGGTGTGGCAGTTAAGGGTGCCATGGTCTACTATGGTTCGAGTCCCGGACCTGGCAACTCACTTTCTCACTTTCCCTCTCTCTTTCTCTCACTCTGTCCCTCTCTGGTCAAATTAAAGTAAATAAATAAAGTTAAATAAAGTGTTTCTTTAATTTAAAAAAAACAAAGAAAATTCAATTCAGTTATGGTGTCAGCCTACCAAGCAACTCCAAGGGTTTGTTATTTAGCCACTTATCTTCAAGTCCTTTGCATGTCAGTCAATATAATAACAAGACTCACAGAATGTGGAGCCCGTGGCCCTCCGGAGTCCTACCTTTGGGGCGGTGCTTCTCCCCATAGTAGCACTGCTGAAATGTGGGGAGATGGAAGGTGTAGTTTTCTTTCGAGGCAAAGTGTCACTCAGATAGAGGCCTTCTTTATGCTGTTTTTTCCTTTCTTCCAGACTTCTAAAGTGCTTTAAATGCAAATGTAAAGCAAAATAGCAAGACTTGACTAACTGAAACAGATCGCTGAAGAAATGAAGAATTATGCATTGACAAAGAAGTTTTGGAATTTTAACACAGAATGTTTTTCAAAAGTTACCTAGCTTGTGCTCACGGACAGACGTGGAATAGCATTTGATAAGATAGCTGACACTGGGAGAACTCACTGAGCCTAGAAAAAAATGTTTTTAAATCCACCTTTCACTTCTGTAGTGTCTGCTGTCTTAGGCCCTCAAGACAGCTTACAAATTATGATGATGGTTGCCACACGGATGGTGGGACAGCCAGTGGACAGACCAGCCAGTGGTACAGTCCCCCCTAGTCTGTCTGGACAGCTCTGTGTGAACACAGACCCCAGCATGAGGAGGACCAGGAAGGGGAGAAGAGAGGAACAGCAAGTAGAAAAAGAAGCTGTTTGAAAGCTACCAAAATATTTCAGTCATATAAACACACTCTACACTGACATAAAGTTCCCATTTAAAGCATCCTTCTAAGTTACTCTTTTATTTCAAAAGATCTCGGCCAAAGAGCCCCTACAGAAATCCCTCACATTTAAAAATCCTCCACTTGACTGTTTAGTTTTTTTAGATATTTAAGGCAAAATTTTTGCCAACTTGAGATATATCCAGACTTTTCTCAGACCTCTCCCCAAAATGTCTTCAATAGTAAAGTGATTTTTCTAGTTAAAGGTTCTTTAGGTTTGATCATTTTAATGCTAATCTCAAATGGTTGAAATATGTAAACATTAATGTAAATCCAAGTTACCAAATTTATAGTCTTTGGATAGGATGCTCATGAAAACTATCTGCATTTTTAACTTTACAATGATCTTATACTAGATAATATCTATGAAGACTTTGCTATGTGCCAGGGATGGTGCTTTTTACATGTCATCTCGTCCATTCTTAAAACAATCCTGTGAGGTGGGCATTATTGCTGTCCCCATTTTACTGATGGAGGATCTGGAGTATAGAGGCCCGCGGTCCTGCAGCTGTGAAAGAATACCAAGTGGCAGAGCTGGAGTGCATGACCTCGTAGTCCACACTACAGGAATAACGCTGCCCTCGGCAGTTTGGCTAATTAATGCTTGAGCTTGTTCCCCCATGACCAAATGTCACAAGTTCTGAAATTCCAAACTCCGAAATATTTCATCATGGTAGCTTAATAAAATAAGAACGAACTCCCATAGAAAACATAGTCTAGCTGACATTTGGCAGAAAACAGCAGGTGTTGAATGCCACAATGGTTTTACTACTAGAAATATCTTCTGCTCTGAATGAAGCTGTTGAAGTTATCACTGTAACACCAAAATGGAAGATGTTTTCTTCCGTTCTCCTCGTTCCTCCCTTGTATACATTCCTTATTTGATGCACCTGCACCAGTTCCCTTTTACATTAGCCCAGGTGTCTGTAATCTGAAAACTGGGAGGCAATGCAGTCCTTTAACGAAACGTCACAGATAGTGGTTATGGTCAAGACAGGTAAGGGCTGAATATAGCAAACTAGGGGTTGCTGGCTTTGGGGATCCAGTGACAATGATCCCTTGGGATCTGGAGGGGCCACACTCTTGTAGGAATTTGATTGTAGGTGAAAGGGAGTCTTGAAACAGATTTTTTTGAATATCCAAACATTAATATATGCTGAGTGTACAAAACAGAGGGCAATATTCAGAATAAATTATTTATTTATCTGATGATAATGAGTGGATTTGCATGCCCAAGGAAGTGAGAGAGAAGCACTGTCCACAGGGTCTGGTCATGCTACAAAGTCCTCGCCCCAGCCCTTCAGCTCCTGTGAAGTTTGGGTGCTCCCATGTGCTTGACATGTTTCCAGCTGACCCAGCAATCTCAACTGTGGTTGTCATGTGGCTTAAAGCGCTGCAACCCAGTATGCTATGGACTGAGCCACCTTGCATGGACCTAATAGATTATTTATTTAAAACTCTGGCCAATAAATATTCTCCTATGGACCAGATACATTACTTGTGATGTAAACTTGGATAAGCTACTTAACTGTGCTGCGCCTCAGTTCCCAACATCTAAACAGACAGAAATCTTACTTTACAGGGTTGTCAGAAAGCTATAAAGAGATATAGTAGTCCTCCCTTACCCACGGGGAAGTGCATTCCAAGACCCCCAGTGGATGCCTGAAACTACAGATGGTAAAGGACCATACAAATATATATATTTTTTTCCTATTCATATATACCTATGAAGAAGTTAATTTGCAAATTAGATATAGCAGAAGATTAAGATTAACTAATAAATACGGAGCAATTGTTACAATATGCTGTAATAAAAATGAAATGAATGTGGTAGCTCTCTCTTAAGATCTTAGTGTACTGTACTTACTTACTTTTTTATTATGCCAGAGGGCACATGCATATACGTGAGAGAGAGAGAAGCACCCCTCCAATGGGTCCTGATTACATGACGATCCTTTCCTCCATCCCAGCAGGCCACTGATCACACACACGCCCACCGTGTTTCTCAAGTCACCAGGGTCTGGATTTAAAGCCTGGTTGCATGTGGGATCCAGCATCCTCCGCACAGCACGGATTTGCTACTGGCCCTATACTTACTTATTTTTGGACCTTGACTGACTGTAGATAACTGAAATCCCCAAATCAGGGAGAAGGAAGGACTACTGCGTTTGTAAGACGTTAAGCCAATTTTGATACATATCGCGGGAATGATGTCTATTATTATGATCTTAAGAGAGCATAATGAAAATCCTTTTTGTTGACACAAACTTTTATACTCTGAACTTTGTGGAAATACCCACTAATATTTTGGAAAGAATTCCTGAGGTAAGCTGCAATATTTTGGTTCAATGGTAACTGAAGAACAAGGATGTGAAATTTGCTCAAACATATCAAAAGCCAGGAGAGAACAAACAAAAACAAAATGCTGCCATTCCCAACACTCATAGCACTGAGGCTACGTGTTCTAAGGGAAAAAAAAAGCATAAGAGTATGAAACTGCCATTTTATAAAAACACTACTGGAAAGTTGAACATAGACTTCACACGAGTAACTTTGCTGTCCAGGCCAGAGCCCGCACTATGAACAGCAGTTCCTAGTTACCTGTGGCTCCCGCTGCGGTTGCTGCTGCCTCCTGTGTTTCTTAGCAGGTAGAGGAGGAGGTGTGTCATTTAAAGGGAAAGGATCAACAGATGAAGCCATGACTTCCGGCCAAGGGGCTGATGGAGGTTGAATGACAGGATGAAGTGAAAGAGTGGAAGGAAACATAAGTCCAGGACAGACAGGTGATCTTTGCTTTATAGGAGAAAGAAAAGGTATATATGTGTCCATCAGAAATGAAAGGATAAGAGTAGGAATTGATCGTCTGATGGTTGTTATATTCTAATCAAGAAGTCATCAAATGAGGGGCAGTATCTTTCAAGTTAGCCTTTTGGTAAAATCTCACACGGCAAGCAACTTGGATTGCTAGAGGGTATTTTAATTCACTACTATGGACCCTCTCCAGACTGCTTTAGGAAGGTCTAACGATAAAAAAAATGACCATACTGTAAAACAAAATAGAAAACAAAATCAAGCCAGAAAGGTGATTCAAACTACTAACTTGAAAACACTTCTTAATTTCTAAGGAAGCTAGGTCAGGTTACAGTGCTAAGAGATAGAGCTTATTTCTTTGAACTTACTCCACTCTGTACCAGATAGCTCATGGTAGAGTAGTACCCCAAAGTGGCATGTTTATAACTCAGTATCTCTCTGACCCTCTCAACGAGCAGACATGTATTCATCATACACACCCTCATTTTCCTCATTTTCAGTAAACCATGCATTAATCGTTGACTGGAGGGAAAGCAGTGAATGAATGAAATGTCATGCCAACACACCTCTTCACTTGGTGGCTGGCTCGCCAGCACAGCCATGGCAGACTCAGTGGCAACAGCATCAGCATCAGCAGGGAACTGAGTGGAAGGGGACAGCCTCGTGGAATTGCCACATGGCTCACTAATTTCATTTACACTGATATAGCCCTAAAAGGAGGAATTCAGAAGTTAAACATAAAGAGAGCAAAAGCTGAGGCATGCGAGAGTATTAATGCTCCCAGTACAATGGAGTTAGCTTACAGCGACACAGCGAGATTTTTGTGGTATTATCGAATGTTTCATTAAGGAAATAATCAGCAACTGAAATGGATTTATGGTGCTTAATCATGAAAAATGATATTTCAAACATTAAACACAATTTTCTGGTAAAATCAAAATGACTGTCTTATAAATAACCCAACTCCTTTGATTTTTAAAAGATCCAGAGGCCATCAGCATTCATTCTGTCAATAGAAGGAGGTTGTCACCACATGCACATTAAAAATAATTACACGTCAACAAATCTGAGAGATAAAACTGACAATGCAATCATTCGCTCCCCTATTCAAGAGTCTTTTCCACAAACCATCATTCTTAGAATTTCTCCCCTCTGCTTTCTGACAAAATAGGGTATAAATAAAAGTGAACTGAGGGCTACTGGGTTTTGCACTATGAAAACTTTTTACAAACAGTAATTGATTCATAATTGAATTTCACTTTGGGACAACTCAACCAAGTGAGAATAAAATAGATATTTCTTCTCATTTATACGAGCCTTCCCAATAGAAAATAAATGTGTACATGCATACACACACACACATGCATGCATACGCGCACACACACACACACACACATACGCACACACACATACAGAGTTGGAATTGAAGGGTGTGTCTATTCAAGGCCGCTTCCTCAAACCCCAACTTTACCCCCAAGATAGAGAATTTCTGGTCATTTTAAATTCAATAATTCACTTCTGGCTTTAGCGTCAGAGAAAATAATTGTAAATAAAATGTATGAAAATAAAAATTCCTAAATTTATGTTTGTGGAAAAGGCACTTGCTAATTTTCATGAAAAGTAATTATACACACTAATTGTGATCTTCAACATACCCACAGAACAGTGTGAAAAAAAAGAATAAAGGATATAAATATCTTTCTTTTAAAAGTAAAACTGAGTTAAATTCAAGAGCTGGGCTCTTCTATTACTCTGTCGATTCTTTCAAGAAGTGAGGGAAGTTCTAATTATAACAAAGTGGAGAAGGCTAGAGGTAACTTTTTAAATTGATTGCATCAAAACGCTGCTGAATGTGATTCTGTACTTCAGAAAGGGGCAACAGACACGTTTTATAAGGATAAACTGAAGGAAGGAAGAAGTCAATTAGATTGTCTAATTTCATTTTATCTAAAATAGTGAATCAGAAAAAAAATTGAAACGTTGTGTTATCCTTTTGTCCAGCTGACAGTAGTATGTTTCAAACCAAGGTCTGATTATTCATAGACCATACAACCTAAGTAATGGGGTTACAAAATTGTATGCTGTCTGGCAAAAGTGGGAGGTCTTTAAAAGAGTTAGGTTATAAGGGGCAGGCAGGTGGCGTAGTGGTTAACGTGCTGGATTCCCATGTGGCCGACCATGGTTTGACTCAGACCTGGTGGCTTGCTCTCTCACTTAGTCTCTTATTCTCTCTCTCTCTCCCCTTCTCTCATCAAATTTAAAAATAATGATAACAATAAATAATTTTTTTAAAAAAAAAGAGGTTATAAATTAATCACTCCTTAAAAACAGAGTAAGAGAAAAGAGAGAAATAAGAAGCAGAAAGACATAAAGAGAATAAAAATCTCTTGTGGGTCAAGGTTACTAGATACATGAAAAAGAACACATAGCTACTCAATAAAGCATAAAAATTGCAGATACGCAAAAACAGTCAAAAAGCAAAAGGGCTTTGCTATCAGGAAGTCTTAAAAGAAAAATAAGACCAAGTCATTAGTAGGAAGGGGAATACTGTATTCTATTAGAAGATGAGGGAAATTTAGAGCTCATGTAATTCAGGTAGGTGCACCAAGTCTTTCCAACTAAGTTAAGTACAGAATTGAACTGTTTATCTTTCCTCTTAAACCTACTGTATCCCACCTTCCCTACCTTAATGAAAGGGACTCACCATTCATCTCCTTATTCAAATTAGAATAATGCAGACAGCATTCCTGACACCTCCTTTTACTTATCTCACACCCTCCACATCCAATCTATCAGCAAGAATTATCAACCCGCCCTCAAAGTAAGTCCCAGTCCAGCTAATTCTCTCCATCTCTCCGCCATTCTCTAATTCTAGCCACCAGACCTCAGCCTATACTATTGCAACCATGTCCACACAGGTTTCCCCTGTAATCTCTTAAAGTCTACACTTCACCAAGCAGCCCAAAGTGATCTTTAACAAATGAATATCAAATAATGTCACCTGCCTGCTTAAAACCACTTACTGGTTTCCCATAGCATACAAAACCACATTTCTTCTTTTTATAAAAGCATTTTCTTTATTTTTCAGAATTCCTAATAAGTCAGTGCCTAGTAGCAAGAGGTCCTACAGTAGGCAAATCCATTTTTTTTTTTATGATAGTGCATGCCCACACATGAGAGAGAGAGAGAGAAGCAGCCTCAACAGGATGTTGTGAGCCATGGTCCTCCTTTCCTCTGCTCTCCAGTTCCTTAGGATTCTGGGTAGCCATGTGCATGTCCGTCATGTTTTCAAGCCAACCCATGCTCAGCTGTGTGGCTCACTGCTTTGCATGGCACTTGCATCATGGCTGTGCTGCAGCAGCTGGGCCAAGATACCTAATTTCTTTCTTTCTTTTTTTTTTTTGGAAAGGTTTTTGCTATAGGGCATGTGTGCTCACCAGAAAGACAGAGAGAGACACAGAGACACAAAGGGAGAAATCACCCCCCAGGGGGATGGTCATGCCACAATCCCTTCTCCTCCATTCTTCTCTCAGGATCTTGGGCACGCGCATGTGCCCAGCATGAGTTTAAGCCACCGGGTCCGGGACTCGAACTGTGGTCAACTACAGGGGAGTCCAGTGACATAGCCATTACATCAACTGCTGGTCCTGAAGATACCTAATTTCTTTAGCAGGACTCACAAGTCTTGCCCCTTTCCACCTCACTGATATCTTCTGCTACTGCACCCTATCACAGCAACCTTTTGTTCACTGAATCAGCCAATTCTGTGTTCTGAATAATGGAGAGAAACTACGAAACTAAAGAGCTGATAAAATTTTTGCAGAAACATTTCACTAACTGCTTCTGATGTCACACTGACTACTAACATGAGCACTTTACTTCACATGCCTACACACAGAAGAATATTTTCCATGTAGGAATTGTTAACTCTGTTGTCTTTTAATAAGCAACTTATAAATAAAAGGGCTTTTTTGGGGGTGGGGGGGATTGGGTAAATTTTTATGCAGAAGCAAGCTTTTTCCCTAGCCTTTTTTTTAAAAAAAAATTAAATATAATTATTTTCTTTTTCAATCAATAATAATTTTCTAAGTTAGAAAAGTGGTCTCTCAATGTAGCAGTTCAGTTTTGTGAGAAGATATTTGCAAATGGTGATGAAAATGGATCCCTGGAATAAAAGCTAGGTACAGCTTAATATAAGTAGGAGTTTACTATTTAGCAGGGAAAATAGCAGAAACAACATTGGGTGGGAGAAGAGATACAGAAAGGAAAGAAGCTGGACTGTCCTCTCAAATGTTTGGGGACATTGTCATGTTCTGTAAAACTGAGAATTAAAGAAAGAGATGAGAGAGAATGAGAAAGGAGATTATAGGACAGAAAGCGAATTTAAGACTCATCTTGTCCTAGATCCTAAATGTTTTCAAACTCTAAGTTACCTGACGAAGTCACTGCCTAGCAAAGGAGACACACACACACACACACACACACACACACACACACAAAAATTGATCTGCATTAGATAAAAAGATAAACCCTGAAATCCTCAAAACATAAACAATGAAAGACAGGAAAGCTATCCCTGTATTCAGTGCTTCCAGAAATCCTTTCAGTTCATGTTTTTACTATGCAGCTACTCACATAAAACTCAGAGACATTTCCTGACTTCTAAGGCTATGGGAACGGACATAGAACATCACAGCTTACCTCTTTTAGAGTACTGGGGTTCACAGGAAACCCTTTTCCCCCAGAGAGGCTGGAGTATTTCTTTTCCAAGTTACAAAGATTCTCCTTTTCCTGAGGAACACAAAATCTATTAAGTGTAGAGTCCACCTTGGATACAACTGAGAAGCACAGTGATTGCACCTTATTGAGGACAAATCCCCAACTCTCACATCCTCCTCTATTTCTGTTTCCTTGCCTCATACCTGGTCAAAACTGCCAATGGCATATTCAAGGAGCTAGAAGATACGATGCATGAGTTGTTTCCAAATGTACTTAGCGATGTAATCTTTCATTCAAATCGACTTTTTAAATTTTTACTATTCTTTTCTTTAAACATTTGATCATTATACATCATTTGGCTTGTAAAGAGAATTGACCCAACATGAACTATCTCTCAGACCAGTTCAGGATTGATTATTTATAGAGCAATGGCATGTTTGCACGAGTGAGCTGCTCTGATGGATTCGAGACAGGAAGAAGCCCTGACAGCCACTCCTCTAAGCCCTTCTGTATGTTTTGTTTTTTTTGGAGAGATTTTTTTTTTTGCTATAGGGCGTGTGCGCTCGCCAGACAAACAGAGAGAGACAGAAAGCGAGAAATCACCCCCTAGGGGGGATGGCCATGTTGCAATCCCTTCTCCACTCTCCTCTTGGGATCTTGGGCACGCACGCACACACACCCAGCGTGAGTTTAAGCCACCGGGTCCGGGACTCGAACCAAGGTCGACTATGTGGGAGTCAAGCGACATAGCCATTACGCTAACTGCTGGTCCCTAAGCCCTTCTGTATGTTTTCTAAAGTCAATTTTTTAAAAAATCTTTGTAAGTAACACATCATCATGTGCCTTGTGGTAATATAATACCACTGAACGAAGTGATACATTTTCTTCTGGAAACTTTACAGTGTCCGCCTTTATGTTTGGGTCTATGGTCCATCTTGACTTACTCCAGTGTTAAGCAACCTTTAGGGAAAATATGTATAGGTCACATTTTTAATTTATCGTGATCTCATCTACATGCAGTGAATTACTCCGATCTTAAGTATGTGATTGATGGCCTTTAACAAATAGAAGCACATCTCGACCATGATAAAGGGCATTTCCATCACCCCAGATGTTTCATGATGGCCCCTTCTGGTCAGTGCCCAAGCCCACGGGGCAGCAGTGTTCTATTTCTGTGGCTTACCCTGGTCCTGCCTGTTCTTCAACTTACACAAATGGAATCATACAACGTGCGCTCTTTGGTGTCTGCCTTCTCCCACTTCACGACGTTACATGCATCCACAGTAAGAAGAGTGAACTAGCGGTGCATGTAACATTGTGGAGGGAGAGAAGACGAAATCCATCGTGACATGTGCTGGGTAGACCTGACCCACTGGAGTCCAAAACACCAGAGCAGCTGAACCAAAATCTGACAGCAACAAAAAGAGCATTTTTCCTTAAGACTACCCTAAACTGATGTTAGAACAGATTTTAACTATTCGATAAAAAAATAAGATATTTTTATAAAGAAGAAAAATAATTTTAAAAATACACAGATATTTCAGTTTGGATTTTCGCAAGATAGAAAAAGAATGAAGAAAACATCCTTGCTTATTTTCTAAATTGTAGCTGATCCTTTTCTTTCAATCAATAATCCACAGCTTGTTAATGTAGAGGATTAAATAAAAATGTATGTAAAGGTCTTTCTTAAATTATAAAGGCATTGGACCAGCAGATGGAGTAATGGTTACGTTGCTGAACTCCCGCATAGTCGACGTGGTTCGAGTTCCAAACCTGGTGACATAAAACTCATGCTGGGAGTGTGTGCATGCATGCCCAAAATCCCAAGAGGAGAATGGAAGAGAAGGGATTGTGGTGTGGCCATCCCCTCGGAGGGTGATTTCTCGCTTTCTGTCTCTCTGTCTCTCTGGCGACCTCACACATTCTCTAGAAAAAAAACTCTCTAAATATATATATATACATATATATATATGTATATATATAGGCATTAATTTTGAAGGTTGCAACTTTCCCCAGTTTGGAACGTTTGCTTTCTTGCTGCCAGTGCTGAAAAAGAAACACTTACTCTTTGAAGCATCATTATTAAATTATTCTTTTCTTTCACAAAATGATCTTGTTCTCTCTGAGCC